GGATTTATTTATTTTATTCGTAATTACAGTTGACTATAGATATAACGGATTTTTTAATTTTAAAATCCGTTATATTAATGTATTATTATATTTATTAAATAAAAAATCCATTTTAGTATTTATATTTTTAATTAATTGGAATCAGGTATAAAAACAAGAGACCATTATGTAACAATTGACAAGACTTTGTCTTGAAATAACGTAAATTGATATTTTTAATTAATTAGACTCGAACTAATATATCGGAATCCAGATTCTTAATTATGGCAAATGTCAACTATTACGACCTACGTCGTTACGACACTTTTGACGTGACGACACGTCAATGTGACGTATCCAAACGTCGCCAAATGTCTGCACCTATATTCGGAACCTATGTAAACTTTATGAAGATAAAAAAACGCATGATCTAATTCTAACGCTAATAGTTTGGGGATAAATATCCATCAATTAATTCAATAAATTACTGATCTTAATTGACGAAGAACCAGTTATTAAAGAATAAGATGCATCAATTTCACCGACCACTTGTTATTTATGTTTTTTGAACTATCTTCTTCAAGTAAAATTGAACGATTATTATAATAATATGAAGAAGTATTATGTGAATAATCATCTCCTTCATCTTCAACTAATACCTAATTATTTTTGTTTTCGGAGTAAAATTAACCCTCGGTATTCTGGATTTTTCTGCCTCCAATGCAATCCGGAATAAAATTTTCTTTTTTTCTGAACTCCTACCAAGAATATTTCTCAAATACAAGACATCCTTACAAACAACCCGTATCAGGTAAACGATTAAATTGAATACATTCTCAATATCAATTCCTGATTGGTGGAATCACATTCTTGATTGTAGAGAGGTCTTAATGTTCCAAGACGTATATGAGAATTATTGACCAAAGTAACATGCACTCGGATCAAGGATATTTCCAATTCTGAAAATGTATGCGTTGAAAGTATGCGGCTTATGATATGGACTGCTTTAGCAAAATCTTTACGGACATGTACACCACCAGCTTCAAATTCTAATATAATGGGTAATATGAGAAGTAGCAATACATGCGAGATCCCTTTCCACTATCATCAGGTATTTGATAATGGAGCTCCCACGTAGGTTCAAAAGGATCGACATTAAGACCGATAAAATTTTTGTCCATAGCTGAGATTAAAATGTTTTTCGGAGGGATGGGCACCAGTTCGCCCTGGTGAAGGTATGAATAATAGGACTGATGTCAATGCAGACAAAGCTGTTGACGTATCAATAGCGAATCAACAGGCTCTAAACCCAACCAACTAGTGATGCGATCCGAAATTCGTCAACCGGATATCCTCTTCAAAATCTGATCCTATGAAGATAACAGATAATCCGCAACAGATGTATTCGGATTATCCGAAGAATATCTGTTATCTGTTTATATCTATATAGCTGAATAAAATACATCATGGTTAATTTATGCAAAACTAGTATTACGCGTAATTTAACCTTTGACTATGTAAATTTTATTATTTGTCGGATAAATCAGATATCCGTCAGCAGATAGCGGATTCAAGGATCCTATCTGGCATAGATAACAGATATCTTTTTGGAGTTTATATCTGGGTCAGATAGGATTCGGATATTCGGATCGCATAATTACAACAAATGTTGCATGTACCTATAATACTTGACTGAACTATTCCTATTACCCTCTTTTATGATTATATTTAAATTGGGATAGCATCCTTTAATTTTTGATGTCTGGTATCTGTTAAAGCTGCAATTATAATACCAAAATTTACAGTCGGTTTCCATAAGTTTGAATAGGTTATAGGATCCTGTGTTTGAAACAATTTACTGTCCACGACTGACTAAGTAAGTAATTTAAAGAGATGTTTTCACGTTGTGTCACGTAGTTCTTAACTACCCATATGTTTGGTTCTAAATCCACTAAGTTTTATCTCGCTTGGTCCTATTCTTTGGACTCAGGTACCTTACGAGATACTACCACTAAGTGCAAACACACAGTTTATAATAAAGACTAACTTTATTAACACAAACTCTCGCTTAGTTTATTGAGAATAACGATTCTTATTCTGAGTATTTTCTATTACAGGTTCGATCTCTTCTATTAGCACAAACCACTCATTACCGCATAATTACTCTATTATCCATCGAATTACCACATTATTGCACCATACATACGCGTAAGCTGCGCATAACTCATATTTCAAACACCGTATTACTAACTTCGCCCATACGCTGAACCAGGTACACGGGATATGATTAGTCATACGACACGTTGTGACCCTTCTTCAATATGATAATTCTCTAATTGCTTTAATGTTTACAATAATCGATTAAAGCCGGAAAAGCCATTTTGTTTGCAAAATATATTAGACACCATGATTATTGACTTGCTCGCTTATTCTTTCATGTTTTTTTTTAAAAGAAATGATTGGAAAAAGATTAAAATATAATTTTAAAAAACGAGTGCTGCAAAAACAAAATCATTTTAAAGTAGCATAAATATAGTCACCTCTTTAGGTAAATGAAATATATTATCATATTCATTATTCTATCCGTGATATGAGTATATAAAATTATTTGAAAAGCAAAATAAACTTATACAAGATAAAAAATTCCAGCAAATTACGAATTCTTTTATCATTTTTGAATCTGGGTGCAATTTCCATTTTATTATTTAAATTTTCGTCTCCTTATATAATAGTTTTCTTGACTCAAATTCTCTCTAAAAAAAATTACTCTTTAAATTAGATGTGCTCTTGTTAATATGGGAACTTTGTTAACAAAATAACCCTTCGGGAATATGAATTGCGGGTTTGGGTCAAAATCCCGACAAAAATTGACTAACACTGTGCTAACCCTAACCCTAATGCGGGCTAATCTGTCGGGATTTTGACCGGCTCCCATGAATTGCATAGTCATGAATGGTCATTTTGGTAGCAAAGATCCCATATATCGAATTTCATGCAAACGACTGACTTGCCTTCTCTTCTATCGTCCAAAAGAAATTATGAATGTCGGGCCTTTCAATTGTCTTGTCAAAAATTGGCATAGATAGAGGAAGCTTTGTTTCGAGCACGACTTAAAATATTTTGTTGATTGCTGATTGATTTAATTTCCTTTTCATATACTCAAGAATTGATTGTATATCTTCGAAATTTATATTAGCGTAGCGTTTCTGGCGAATCCGAAATATTTCGCTCGGGAGAAATGATTTCACGCTGGCGAAATTTCGGACGTCAAAAAATGCAAATTACCATGTATTTTGCGGGTTGACCTGAATTATTTCGTTCCGGTGAAATTATTTCTTGTTAAAGAAATATTTTGGATTTTAAATATTACTTTAGCACGAAACACTATATTAGCGTGTTCTGATACATATTTGAGACAGGCAAGAATCGACCAATCTGAATATTCTTTTGTCTTAAAGCAGGAAGAAATAAATTTAAGCGCAAAAAAAAAAAAAAAAAGTTAGTGTCCGCTGATTAAAAAATTATTTTATTTTATCGATATAAAGCACAGTACAAATAACTAATAAATTTATCATTAAGGATTATTTAATTTATCACTAAGAAATATCTATTAGTTAATTTATCGCTAATATTTAACAATTAATTGATTGCCA